TAGCTGGGAGTGGAGGGAGCTTGGGTCAACATTAGCTGGGAGTGGAGGGAGCTTGGGTCAACATTAGCTGGGAGTGGGGGAGCTTTCGAGGGACAGGTCCTGCTTGGTGGGAATCTGACACACACTTGGCTGAACGTCCTTATTGGCTTTACCCTACTATGTCGTTCTTTCCTAAGCAGGTTTGTGCTTTAGGAAATATGATGCAGGTGTTGCAATGAATATAAGCAATTCGATGAATTTCGGAAGTTACTGTTAAACCTTGAAAAGTGCTCATCTCTTAAATGTTTTCCTCCTGTACGTTTATTGGGCAAACGTTTTCAGGGTTTAGTACGGCTCACCTTTCACCTACAATTACAAACCTTCGAACGCCAAACCAACGAGATTCTCAGGACTAAGGAAGGAGCAGAAGCTCTTGCAACGCGTGGCGCACATCTCGCCGGACGGCGTCCTCATGGACCAGGAGAGAAGTCTTGCGAACCACTTCACAGCTCTGTCCATCGCAGGTGTCGTTCCCACCCGATCCGGTGCAGTTTCCGACCCAGCATTTCCCGTAATGATAGAGTTCGCCAAATTCGAGAGGGACATACTGCACCGAACACGGGCGGTCGCCAGGGTAACACGTCCTCGCGATATGGTTAATCATGACAACTTGAGTCGCTGTCACGCAGATGCTCTTTCCCATCCGAGAAGCCGATTTGGGGAATTCTGCTGCATTCACATGCCTCAACTTCGCATCTTGCGCTTGTAGCCATCCGGTAGTTTCCCCCTCCTCCATCAAAATAATCCTGGTTTGAAAGTAATAGCAATCGTATCGAGGAATTTCGGGCGCCAGGTGTCGCATCATTTCGGGCCAGGTCTTATATGACGTGTTTGGAGCAATCATCTCGTCAGTGTCCATGACGGCAACGTATCTGTATCCCTGAACCAAGCTTCTAAAAACGCAATCGTTGAATTGCAGATGGTAAAATCCCCGACGAAACAATTCGTTCCTGGTCAGAAAGGGTCCTTCGAATCCAGGGATGCTGAGCAGAGTTCCAGGAAGGGTGATTGGAATGTACTCCAGGAATCCTCCCTAATCAAGAACAGAAAAATTCATTACGACCTTATCAGTGTACTGGCAGAGGTACCCAGCGTTGCACGGGTGAATATTGTATACGTCCCATATTTGTCTGCACGAAATAAGGTACGGGGCAGGGTCGGAATTAGGGGTGGGCGATCAAGGCGACCGCCTGGGGCGCTATTTGGACTTGGGTTGGCCCTGTCCTCGGCGGTTCGAATTTTGAAAAACCACCTGCACCGTTTGGTCGGACTGGGATCCGAGGTGTGGCTGTGCATAAAGGACAGGCAGACACACAGACACTCAGAAATATAGTACAGATAGTATAGATTAGTTTCAAAAGTCAGAAGGAGAAAGTTAAAATAACAGAACTTGAAATGTATACAGGTGGTACAACGTTGGTCTTTTTTTTTTTAGCTGCAGCTGAATGGAAATGGGTAGACATGTAAGACTTGACATGATGGTATTTTGTTGACATACTGATTCCAAGAAAATAAAAAATATAAATTATTTAAACACACCCCCTACGGAGCTCTTTCGAGGAGAGTTGGGTGACAGGCACACAGACACGCGTTCGCCGAAGTGAGACTTTATGAAATGGTTCACATTTTTCTTCAAGCGTGCAATTTCAACCTTCTTCTTACATTTGGACGTTGCATCGTTTCTCTCCAGTTTCAAAAGCTTGAAGATTCGGTCAACACGGCTGATGATTTAATGTATCTGGCGAATACTCCATCTTAGTAGTTGGGAGATTAACTTTTGATCATTTTTGTTTGCAAGCTTTTATATTTGTTTCGCAAAAGGACCGACTATTGGACTGCAGGTAGTGGAGTCTATTTATCTGACTTGATCCAGCAGAATTGAAAGGTGGCGGTATCAACCAAAAACCATAGGAATTTCCTTTTTCTTCGTTCAGAAAGCGTTCATTTCGATGTTACAAAGCAATATTCCGATAGATAGTCGAGTCTACCTGTTCTTCGTAGTACTCCAAAACCCGTTCCATGTTCGGATGAAGTTGAAGACCATAGGCGAACACCTTCCCCACTTCCATCGACTTGAGGATCTCCAGCCATTCTGTAAGGAAGTAGGAGAGGTCCTGCTCGAAATACAGCTGCTGAACGCATAGTGACACCGCATGGCTATCCTCGCTCAAGGTATTTTTGTCTCTTTGAAACACTTTTAGGATGTTGAACACTTCTTCGGAATCTGAGGGCAACACTGAGACGGCATCGGGAATAGGTTCTTCTTTTTCAAGTGCGCATTTCAGCACGAATGACACTGACCATACTAGGCGAATCTTGTGTTCTATCTCTTTAAACTGCCCCTTGCGAAATCCATAGGTCCGATTGCCTTTGTAAAATTTGCATTTGAGAGTAGGGACGGATTCATCAGGCCCGATGATCATGCCGAAAATACGGATATTGCTCTCATTCCGATGGTCATGGAAGGCGGAATACAGGTATACGTCTGTGTCTTCCTTTCGAAGGCGAAGATGTTGATAATAGAGGTTATTGAATTGGAAATTATCGAAGCAAGGATAGATCCCGGGTTCCTTGCTTCCAATCGCGCACAAACTAAGGGAATCCAAGGGAATGTTCCTGAATCTTCTCCACGGAATCTTATTTTCTGAGAGAGATCTGTTGTCTGGAACTTCTTTCCACCATCTCGACAGAAGTTGGGACGGTTGACCTTCCTTGACCCACTTTTGCCCGAAGAGGTAAGTGCAAGCGACACCCAAGCATCCCAATAACAACAGCAATCTCCAACCTGTCAGGAGAGAGGGGAATACATCGACTCTTGGACGGGTTTTCCGGCGTGGCTAATAATCAGCAAAGACGACAAGCAGGATTCTCTTTTTTACCGAACGCCAACTGCAAGACTTCCATATTTCTCATGCGTAGCATGTAGGCTATGACACCGGAGTCTGAAATGGCTGTTTAAACTTGTCTAAAGATTATATTTTCCATTAATATGAGATATCTTAGATAGTGAGATATCTCACTATCTAAGCCGTTGATGAATTCCTTCGATATTTTAGTTTTTACGCCCGACTAGGAAAGCCACCAAAAGATCTTCACTGGTCTTGTTTATGGGAGACAATGTCGTCGACGAACATGATGTTTGCATTTGGATCGCACTGCGTCTGAAACGTTCAGTCTTTCCTTTCGGAAAAATGTTTATGCCTGCGTGTTGTCCGAAAGAAAGAAGAGAGAAGGAAACAGAAACAAAGAAATTGAATTACCTTTTCTTCCAAATGCTGCGTTTGCGGTGCTCATTACTAAATGAGATCTCGATAACGAACCTGCGAGCAAAGGATTCATGGCATATGAAATTAGGATTTTGAGGTTATGAGCCATATTCATGCATCAATAGCGCTATTGAGGTAGCGAACATTATCTTTCTTCAACTCCTTCCGGCGAGAAAATTCAACCGTCTCGTATTCCTATCTGAGAGCATCAACAGCAACGAAATCGGGCATGCTTCTTCCTCTCACAGCGCAGAATTGCTCCGGGAAATTTTAGGCCTCAATTCTCCCCCCCCCCCACCCCCCACCCACCCCCCCCCCCCCCCCCCCCCCCCCNCTTCAATAAAGACAATCATTGAGTTGTAAGTGATAGAATCCACGATGGAATTTCTCATTCCTGGGCAGAAATGGGCCATCAAGTCCTGGGACGTTCGGTTGTGTTCCAGGTATTGTGATGGGGATGTACTCCACAAACCCTACCTAATCCAAACCAAATATGTCTATTAGGGCCTTATCAGTTAATATTTCTGAAAGAGTCTTAACTTTTGTAAACACCGAAGGGAACGAAGAAACTGGGGGGGGGCGGTTACGTTATCGCGACTCCAACTGCCGCAATTGGAGTTACGCTATTCCATTTCCTTATTAGTCTCGTAATCCGCCATAGATCTTGTTCTGTCAAGGGACAAGTTAATGTACTTCCAGCGGTATCTTTATACTCTTCTCTAGTATACTATACTTCTGAGCTTCCCTTTTCCAATATATGCACCGCGAACATGAAATATGTGCGTACCATCCACAACTTTCTCGATTATTGAAATCCAGTTTAACATTACTAGGTTTATACTGGAATCCTTGTTTCCTAGTATTCCTTCGCTTCCTTGGAATTTTATTCCCTTCTACTGTAATGCTCCAATCTGCAAGGTTGATCTATTTGTCGGCAGGATTAGAGAGGGTGAGATCTAAATGCATGGGAAGTACCCATTCTCCAGTACTCAAGCACCCTGCAACGGAGACTTGCGAGGGTTTTGATTGCGTCGCGGAAGCGATTCAGCAAATGGAATTTTTCCGCGTTGAACGACACCTTCCTCGTTGAACGACACCTTCCTCGTTGAACGACACTTTCCGCGTTTCCGAACGATTTGGACCAGCTGATGCTACCTTTTCCAGAGTCATCATCGGAAGTTCTCGTACGATTCCAACTTGGCGACAGGAGCGCGTCGGGTAAGAAAGCTCCCTCAACCCGTAGATTGGCTTAGTCATCTCGTCAGGAAATTTTTTTTTTCTTTCCGCCTGGGAAGAAGCAAAAATTTCAAGATATCTCGAACTGTGGTGTCATCGCGCGTCGAACCCGGAAAATTCCCCCTTTTGACTCTCCTCGAGGATGCAAAAAAGCGATTGGCAAACTCCTTCTGCCGTGTATCAGGGAGCCCATGCAAACGCAGTGTCGGCTGCGACGACCCTGGCAGCGCCCACTCGTCGGGTCGACTTCGGAGTCCCGAATGAGACTGACGTGAAAGCTTCTGCAAGCTTCATCACTTTCAGGCTTCGAGTGAGCTCCATCTGTGCATATAATTCCATATTATACAATTGCATATAATTATAAATCAATTTGGGATGGGATTCCTCCCAAGAGAATACTCGTACGCAATCCCTGCGGGATGGCCAGAATCAGCCTTCGCACTCCAAGCGAACCTGCTCCAATAGTCCTCACCTAAGGAATCGAGGCCGAGTTTGAACCATGCCTCCTCCTTTCGCATGAGTCTCCCTGCATTTCTTAACCTGTTTAATCTTGAAATAATTGATGACCCACGATCGGGCGCTTTAAGCGCACTAAATCCTACCCACATAACACGATTGCGCAATGCCTCGAAAGGACGCGCAATCCCAGGAAGCACACTCCTCTTAACCCCGCGGCGGACCGCTGGAAGCACGAGCGAGATCGTGGCGGGCCGCTGGAAGCACGAGCGAGATCGTGGCGGGCCGCTGGAAGCACGAGCGAGATCGTGGCGGGCGCGCCAGAGCGGCACCGCCAGCTGAGGGCCAGCCGAACATCGATCGGCCTTCACCCGCGTCTCTCGTCGGGTCGGCGGCGGGAAGCCGACCCAATGAGATTCGTAAGAACGAGTCATCTGCCATCTGTTGGCAGTCAATCGAATTACCCAGCATCGAGGCGGTATCATGATCTAATGCTGACATTACTTGGCTTTAAAAAAAGGCGAATTCCGCCGCCAGCCCCAAACGGCAGGAAAGACGATGGCAGATCGCCAGTGACACCCGATTTGCCGACTCTCTCCTTGCCAAAATATTCAGGCGGATCAGAGAGAGCGAACAGGCCTGAACAGGCGTGAACAGGCGTGAACAGGAGGGCGCAACGCCCCGCGTTGGGGCGTTGCGCCCGCTCTCGGCCGCTGCCGCCGTTTCCGTCGTCGCCACCGCTACCGCGCCCGTCTTCTCGGACGCGCGTGCGTTCGACGGGCGGGTCACAGTGCTACAAATCATTCTGCAGCGGCTGCAGGGCATATTCCTCGCTCTGCAGACGTATGGCATCCCTCTTCTCTCACCCTCTCTGCTCCATCCTTGATCCATCCCACCTCTCTTGCTAAAGAATGACAGGACAAACCGCGGTCTCTATCTTGCATTTAAACCGTCAAGCATTCCAAGGCACGCGTGCCGAAATTCGCCATCATCTCGAACAAGTAATGCCTTGTATAATTTGCCTGAGTGAATCAAAACGCAAAGAAGCAGCTCTAATTAGGAATTACTATAATTACAAGCCCTGCTTCCCTTCCTGGCCGTACCAAGGAGGCTCAGTGGTGCATGGTAAATAATCCCGATTCTGAATTAATCAACCCCAGCTGGCATCCTAACTCTTAAATAATTGCAGATATAACAATCTCTCTTACATTGTATTCCTCCTTCTTTTTCCGATCTCGAAATCTTTAATTTAACAAGCGGCCCTTCGATTCTTCTTTGCGATCCCAAAGCTCATTCTTCCGATCTCTCCTTTTGTACTAATTCTAATGCAACAGGATGTAACAGGATGTAACACGAGCAACAGGATGTAACAGGATGTAACAGGATGTAACACGATCAGCATGATGCAACAGGATGTAACACGAGCAACAGAGGATGTAGCAGGATGTATGCGATGTAAGGAGCAGCCTCGTCACTGCAACAGGCCCAATTCGACGCCACACCCCTGCAAAAGACCCAGGACCCTGGAATCTTCCATTGGGTCAGGATCTGCTCGATGGACCCTATGCAGAATGGGATGCACGCGCATCCCTCATTCCTGCGGGATGCACAAAATTCCCAAGCTGAGGACCGACAACTGGGGAGGAGAAGGAGAGACGGAGAAGGGTGCTGGAAGGCAGCGGGTGCTGGGTGGACCGAGCAGAGAGTGGAGGAAGCGGGGACGTTAATAGGGTTCAGATCGTAGGTTCAGATCGTAGGTTCAGATCGTAGGTTCAGATCGTAGGTTCAGATCGTAGGTTCAGATCGTAGGTTCAGATCGTAGGTTCAGATCGTAGGTTCAGACCCCACGCCCAGTGGAATGGGAATCCAACAATAGGTTTTCATCCATTTTGTAGTGTTCTCTGCTCTTTTTCCTGTGAAGTGGGTTCTGTCCGTGATTCGTAGTTAATCGGCCTATCGGGATCGTTAGCTTGTAAAAACTTTTCGACAGTCACTTCCGAGTTTACTTGCTGAGTTTGCCCTGCCAAACCCTCGACTCAAAACAATCCTCGCCACGTACGAAGAACATAAATTCCATGTTCTTAATTCCGTGTTCCCACACTTCCTTCGACACTAACCTCCCTATCTGCAGGGAGCCTGATGAGGCTCTTGGCTCTGATTCGTTTCTGAATTAATGGTGATTTACTTGACAATTGTGAATGTGGAAAAGGTAAATGGTTGGGCATTAATCATTCTGTCTCCATCGCTCTAGCGTGGACCTAAAGGTTGAGATAGCCCCGCCGCGCTGGCATCTTCGTTCATAGTATGTGAATCTGAAATGCAGGCTGCAGACTTAATTAGTTATGAAAGCCAATTTCTCAATGGGGTAGAGGCGGGTCTGAAAGGAGAAATTCCCGGGCCGACACAATAGCCATGGGACGCCTTCCCGTGACTGGAACAGTTTCACCAGGGTCTTGCAATGTGCGATCGTAATTGTGTCAATCTTGAGCTTCGTTCATCTCCTGAAACTTTACGGCTTCATCGAGCTCTCTCCGCGCTCGTGTTGTTCCGTATAATAAAAAATATTTTCCTGCGAAAGCCTTAGGAAAGCTCGATCGACGGTTCCGAGACGGATGTGGCTTAGGTCTTTCTCCGAGTAGTCGTACCCTCCGGCGACCTCCTCGACTCTTCTTCGCTGCACGACGGAACGCCCACGTGCTCCCGCCGACAAGTCTTCTTTTGCTGTGTGCCTCCACCACGCCCACTCTCCAGCGGGCTCTCACCGTCCGCGTCTTCCCGACTGAGCTTGCTCTTCCGTTCTCTGGCATTTATTTTGCCTAATGAATCCGTGTCACCTGCCTAAGGCTTTGATTTGCTAATCTCCCAGCGTGTCGCGCTAGAGGCCAAGAACCCAGAGCCCTAACAATTATAAAGTACCGATCGGGTAATTGACGATGGTCTTGACGAAGGATTCTTATCGCGAATATAAGCAATTTTATGACTTTGGCTCCATAAATCTGTCTCAAATATGGAGATACCAAATGAGGAAGTGTCCGCATTTACTGATACCTATGAGACTAGGTGATACATACATCGAAGTACTAAACACTCCTGCGTGGGACGATTCCAATGAAAGAGGGAAAGGGCACATTCGTGTATAGAGCTAAAAGCGAGACCTACACTTCCATCTTGTGGCTTGGATCAGAACTTTACTAAACTACTACCCTACTACTGCCCTAAACTTCTACATGCAACTTGGGTACTTTGGATCATCGCACTGGTCCGTCAGTGGAATGATTATGTAATCGCAATATTGGGAAGACATTGCTTCGCCGATATTGGCTACATTGACCAAGATCCCCAGTAGCACCCCAATATTGGATCGATATTGGCTGCCAAGGAATATACATCTTGCCTCAAGATTGGCACCCATCTTGGACCATTCTTGGGATTACTACTGTGCCCCTTGTTGGGCTAATATCAGCGTCAATATTTCCTCTAAATTCTTTATCCAGTGGAGTTATTCCCACGGTGAAGGCATTTCTATTTGCAGTACTAGCACGACCCATACTAGTAGAACCCCATGCACATGTCTGTCCCATGGATGGGCAGGAGACAGAACAGTACAGAGGTGGATTTTGTACCTCTCTTGCACCTCTGATCTCGTGATAATGTACTAACCCGTGCGGTTCAGGGGAAGGACCAGTTCTTACTGTTCTATGGAGTATCTGCAAATTCAGTCCCTCGTTTCCTCATCGTGTCATCAGGATTAGGAAACGAAGGACTCAGCCAGCGAATATTTTCCACATTTTATTATTCCTTTCAATAGGATCATCTTGTTTTCGTAAAGGGTTCTCACAGGGAATATCTTGTTTATGGCCTGGGCTCCATGATTCAGTCTCGAATATGCGGATAATAAATGATGAAATGTCAGAGTTGATTGATTGCTCTAATGAGACTAGGCCAGACATATGGCGAGGTACTAAACACTCTCGTGAGGGACGATTACAGGGAAAGAGGGAAGGGAAGAGGTTGTGCACCGTGCGAAAAGCGAGACCTATGTCTCCATCTAGGGGCCTTGAGGAGAATTTCAACATTTCCCAAAAACTTTTGAGTGCGGTCGGGCACATTGGATCATCAAATATTGGATCGATGATCGAATAGCAATATTGGGGGAGTCAATGTGTAGCCTATATTGGCAATATTGACCAAGTTGTAGCCAACGTACCAATGTCGGTCCAGTATTGAGCCAACATCTGGTGCTACTGGGGGTAGGATTCATCCCAATAACCATTTTGAGCCGATATTGCACATTGGGCCGACGGCATGAGTTGTACTATATGGGGACATCGGAGCAGTATTCAATATCGATCTTATCTTTGTATTCGATATAATTGTTTGAGGGGGTTACCAATACTTAGTCACCAAGCATCTTACATGGATGTGAAAGCCTCCTTCATGGCAGCACATAAGATCTATTGAAAATTTTTAAAATCCAACTCAAACTTGTATCGGGTGCGAATGGTTTGGCAGAGGCAACCATGTGGTTTGAGAAGTAATTAGTAATCACCGCATTCAACCCGAGTTTGTGCCATTTTGCGGTACTTCATCAATGAATTTTTTTCCTTAGTGACTTCATCTGTGTTCACAACTGCTTGCCAAACGGATGGTGCAAAAAGAGTTGCACTTGCTTCAAGGTCTAACAAATTTATTCACGCCTAGATTAGCTGGTGAAACGAATGCCATGTCTTCAATCGATTCCAGAGTATGAATGGCGTGAAGAATCGTACACTATGTTTATTCACTCATTACCACTCATTTACCACCAGTGGTAAATGAGTTTGTTTCCTTCATATGGACATCATTAGATTAACGCCATGCGCAGTAACATAAAATGCAAATTAATACACTATTCCCCGAGCATCGCATCTCATCTGATGCATTCAGTAGTTTCGCGAGCGATTCCCCATATCGCGATTTAAGAATCATTTTGCCTCATTTTCGGAAACCAGATTGTTCGAACAACGGCGTTGCATGGGCTATCCGCTGGCCCAGAGATGTACTAATGTTAATGACTAATGTTAATGACTAATGTTAATGACTAATGTTAATGACTAACGTTAATGACTAACGTTAATGATTAACGTTAATGACTAACGTTAATGACTAACGTTAATGACTAACGTTAATGACTAATGTTAATGACTAATGTTAATGACTAATGTTAATGACTAATGTTAATGACTAATGTTAATGACTAATATTCGTCTCGATGCTATATTTGCCCAGTCTTTGGACTCACGGCTAAGGTGGTCCCGAAGTGGTGTGCATTCTGTTAGCCGATTCTGGAACTCTTTTGCAAATTCGGAAGCAGCAAAACGCGTTGGACCCACGTGGGCAGACGTGAGCCTCAGGATCGCCAGCAAAACTGCATTGATGACGGAGATGTTTTTATAGGGATTCATATAAGAATCCCTTAGTGAAATAAATTCAATAGTATCATAACAAAGCTGCGAAGAATTTTGAGTGGACCTCGTTTAATGTCGTTAGGGCTAGTATTAGCGATAATCCAATTCTTCGACGGGTGCCACACGCATGTGCATAACGATCATATCATGCTCGTAAAAAAATGTAAGATACGCCGAGGTACCGTAATTTTTTTTCTCTAATTCACGTGCCCAATGATATCACCAACAACGTAAATTAATCCTGTTTGTTGTCTTGCGACGTATAATAGGAACTGATGAAATCGTGAGTGACAGTAATTTTTTAATTACCTTGAGCAAGAATGGCAGCGTGTGTGAAGTCGCAGTGACATTTCCAAGTAATTTTGGGTTTCATATCTTAAAAGGAATTAATGACGCCCCAGGAATGCACGTCGGTTTTGCAATGAGTTTTGGTTACTCACTGCAATAGCTTTGCAGTGAGTAACTTCGGTCTTTTCTATCATACTAAACAATGGAATTTCCTTAACGTCAAAAATTGTAACGTGCGTTCCTATATTTTAGCTACCTGACACATTTCAATGACTAGTATAATTCATGTTTCTTTCATAACCACAGGCCCTCGAGGATCAACCCAAGGAAAGGCTCAAGAAAAAGGAAGGAGCTGAAGTTGTTGCAAGGTGTGAAGCACACCCTGCCGGACGGAGTCCCCGTGCGCAAGAAGAGCAGTCTTACGAACCACTTCGCAGCTCTGTCCATCGCAGGTGCCATTCCCACCCGATCCGGCGCAGTCCCGGACGGAGCATTTCCCGTAATGATACAGTTCCCCGAAGTTTCTAGGAGTATGGTACGTGTAGCACATGCGGTATCCAGGGAAACACATTTCCGAGTAATGGTTGGACATAGTCTCTTGCTGGTTGGTCACACAGATGCTCTTTCCCACCCGATTTGGAAGTGCATTGAATTCTGCTGCATTCACGTGCCGCAGTTTTACGTCATGATCCTGTAACCATCCGGTAGTTTCCCCTTCCTCCATCAAAATTATCCTTGTTAAAAAGTAATAGCAATCGTATCTAGGGTTCTCCGAGACAAGGTGTTGCATCAATTTGGGCCAAGTCATATATGGCGCGTCTGGGACGATCATTTCGTCGACGTCGATGACGGCAACGTATTCATATCCCTGAACCAGGCTTCTATAAAGACAATCATTGAGTTGAAGGTGATAGAATCCTCGATGGAAGTCTGCGTTCCTGGGCAGAAATTGACCATTTGGCCCAGGGATGTTGGGCTGAGTTCCAGGAAGGGTGATTGGGATGTAATCCACGAATCCTCCCTAATTCGAAACGAAATTTATGACAGCATCAGCAAGTACCGTTGAAAGTGAAAAGTTTTTTTTTCGAAAACCGCAAATTGGAAAAATTACTTCACGCGATGGTTGGGATTGTGAGACGGAGCCTGAACTGTTCGGGTGGGTCTTTTCGACGGACCACGCTCTTGCCTGACTCCAAAAATTGTACAACGGACGAGCTACAGGGTATATTCAGATTGTATATTGCGAATATTTCGCAGAAAATTTTAGTAATGCCCAGTCGAAAATTTTTCAGCGGGCCATCGATGGCTTTTCGTCGACTCGTCTATAAGCCGTAGTTTGGTCATCACTGGCCAATGGTTGCCTTACACTTGGTTTAAGCCGGCCTATGGTCGGGCATGTCCTGTAGGTCCATCATTGGGCCAACTTTGGCTCATTGTTGGGATACCGCACATGTCCCAGCCATAGGCTGACTTGGGTAAAAAGATATAGGAAAAAAACCGACACGAGGAGAATCCATAGCATAATGCAACTTGGAGAAATAGAATGCATCCTTTGGTCTCTCCTGCTAATTCATGCGAGAGAGATGAAGAATCGATACCTTACGCAGGTACACTCCTATCACAGAGAGCTCAGCATATCCTTAGCAAAGCGTTCCGAATGTTAAGGCATCCAGAAACGAGAATACAAGTAGGAATCAAGGGCATCTGTTCTTCCACAGGATGCAGACACTTTTTACGTAATAAGAACTTTCAATGTCCTGAAGTGGAAAACAATGAAGTCCTGGGGCCCCTATCGTGGAAAGTATTGAATAGAGGTATTCAATAGAAAAGTATTCAATAGAAGGATCCTCCCACGGACCTCCAGACTGGAATTTCCTGGTTTATACCAGGGCTAGGTCACATCTTTCGAGAAATGTTTCAAGGAATTATATTGGCTCCTTCTGAGATCTATGTGAGAAACCATAGGGAACTGTGTCAAAGTGCCAGGAGACTCATTTTAGTAAAATCCGTGAAGAGACTCCCTACTGCGACTACTTTGCCTCCATCTCACGCCGGTTTTCGGAACCTTCTCTGCCACATTGTCTCATCTTCGGCGAATGATCGGGCAGCCAACTCACAAGTGACTCACATATGTGAGTTGGCCGGCCAATGATTCGCCGAATATGAGCCAACTTCCCCATCAATGATTAACCAACGAAAATTTTTGACCAGGTGTTTTTCCCTTTTCAGATAATTTATTTTCCTCTGGTGGGCTTCCACTTGCAGTCAAATCACTGCCCTTAGTTTTGCTATCTTCATTAGAAAACTCGGAAACTTAATACATAAATATTTTAAAAGATGTGGTCCTAATAACAGATAATGGACTTGAAAGAACTTTGAAAGAATTACATGTTTCGCGCAGCGAATGAATTCTTTCTTTCGTTTCACAAGTTTAATTTTTTTTATCACAAATATACTTTAAAGTCATTGATGAAGTTACCTGATCTTCGTAGTGCTCCAGCACCCGCTCCATGTTCGGATGAGGTTGGAGGCCATAAGCGAACACCTTCCCCACTTCCATCGACTTCAGAATCTCCAGCCATTCTGTAAGGAGGTAGGAGAGATCCTGCACGAAGTACAACTGCTTAACGCATAGTGACACTGCATGACTCTCCTCACTCAAGGTATTCCTGTCTCGTTGAAACACTTTCAGGATGTTGAATACTTCTTCGGAATCTGAGGGTAACACTGAGACGGCGTCGGGGATGGGTTCCCCTTCCATCAGCTCACAGCTCAGCGTGAATGGAACTGGCCAATTTTGCTGAATATTTTGGTAAAGTTCTGTATAGTGCCCCTCGCGGAACCCATAGGTCTGGTTCCTTTGATAAAATTTGCATTTAAGGATTGGGACGGATTCTTCAGGTCCTATGATCATACCAAATATACGGATTTTCTTCTCCTTTCGATGATCATGGAATGCGGAATAGAGATAAATGTCTATGTTTTCTTTCCTAAGGCGCAGGTGTTGATAATAGAGGTTGTTGAATCGGATGTTGTCGTAGCATGGATATATCCCGGGTTGTTTGCTTCCAATTTCGCACATGCGAAGCAACTCCAATGGGATATTCCTGAATCTTCTCGACGGATTCCTTTCCACAATGGGTTTGGTTGTCGATAGAATTTCTTTTTTCTTTCTCGGAAGAAGTTGGGGAGGTTGATTTATGGTCCACATCGGGCTGAGAAGAACAGTTGAGGTGACACCAAAGCATATCACCATGAAGAGCACTCTGCCTCTCTTTCCTGGCAAAAAAAGAATACAACACATTTTGTTTGGTTGAAGTTATGAGTAGGGGTTCCGTATGACATATCAGAGGCAAGGCTTCATTGGTGCATCGGAGCAATTCTAAAATGTGGAGTTATGATCATCTGTGTCATCAATGCCTTAATCTAAAAAAATCGTCTAATAAATCGACTGTTGCTCCATTCATCTCTTATCCTGATATTCACGATTACGGGATTGCGCTGGAATGATCGTGAATCACCTCGGAAAAAATAGAGTTGATATCACTTGGCATTTTTCTTATCGAGGCCGATAGTGGCATTAGATAGAAGCGGTATTTATGGGTTAGTAGGTCGAGGTACCCATCACATATTCATTTGAAAAGCTGACGAATTAGCAATATGAGGATTTTTGATGGGGTAACATGATGGTTTCTCTGCGAATTTCGAGCTGCATGCTGCTACATGATACTGATCTAGCCGGATTGAAATGGAGGAAAAAGTCTCTCTTTGAGCATAGTCCAAGAAAGGGTTACATTTTTACTCCAATCTTCAAGTTCAGACTGTGGAAAAATAGGAAATTCGAAGATTGTATGTACAAAAGGACAGTCTGCAAGATGAGCAATATATGTCACTTTTACCAATAAATTTCTTCTTATAGGGAATCCCTGAAATAGTCTAAAAATTTGACTGCAACTTTTCACATGAATAGGTTATCGAAGCGAATTAAATTCTCTTTCTCCAACCCTTCCCCCTCACAAAATTCCGGCTCCTTCTGAAACCCATCTGGAGGAACGAAATTTTGTATACTGCTTACCCTTTGTGCAAGAAATAACTCTAGAAAATGTGACGTTTCATTTCCCTGGGATTGCAGAGAACACAGAATCTCCCACTTCAAAGAAATGAATATCATTCCGATATTTTTCCATCTCCATGTCTCGCCCAAAATGTGCGGGTTCCGGAGGAGAAAATAATTTAAAAAAATAAAGATTTGGACATGTTTGGACATTACCTCGTTGGCGATGCACCATTTCGCTGTGAAAAATGAAATTAGGTGTCGTTTACTTGGGCTTATAGTCCGTGCACCAGTCCCACGGAGTCTGAATGGAATTATGGCAGAATCGTGACTGCTGCTTTCGTACCATCAGATACGTCAATGAATGATGCATTTTTGTGCTGAGTTGATGGGATGAAGTGAAATCGAGACATTGATTAACAGTTGTCGATCGGATGTGGTGGGATATGGACGCACCGTGAATGGACATCCTTGCTGATGATGGCGCCAAATATGCACTGGGATTTCGGAGGCGATCTGCCAGCAGACCTCGTGGAGATGGTTGATATGCACGTTGAAAGACACTCCAGACATCATCGCTCCATCGCTCTTACATTAGACGAACTTTCTGAGATATCTGGAAAATGCCGGGATTAAGTCCTATAATTGGCCCCATAGGTAAGATAAAAGAGAGGAAGGGAGATAAGGTTGAATAAAGTGGTAAGCCCTAGAATGTGACTTCGTTGAATGTTCAGAGAGTTCATTCACATGTGACACAACATTGATTCAACTTTTATTTGATGTGCATTGAATGTTTATACTTCATATAAAGGTTTATACTTTAACCTTTATAAAGGTTTAAGGTTTATACTTCCATGTTGCATCAACGTTGATTCAACGCGGCGATCGTCACTGTTTATGAATCCACATTGGCCAAGCGTTGATTCAATGCTGCGCTATTCAGGGTGGGAGTGCCAACATTAAATCAACATCGATTTAACGGATTCTTTGCCAATACAAAATCACCTGTTTTATGTCTACAGTTTGGATTTCTTTATGTACTCCATCGAGATTCGTCAAATAGCTCAGCCAATCCGCCCAAATGCCTTTAGGTCAAGAAAAATATTCGATTTAGTGCAGACAAGACACTGGCTGAAATGACGCTTGGCGCAATTTTTTGCGCAGCGAACAAGCAGAAATTTCACTGGGAGTATAAAAATTCTCTCGTCTGCATCTGGCATGGTGGAGTTGTCTCAAGACATACGGAATATGAAATCATTCCTGTTTTCCTTATTAATAATGCAGAAGAGTTGTTCTGGGACAGTCTTGATGGTACATGGTCATCATGTTTCCCATTTGAATTTGTTTATTATTATTATTATAGGTTATTACTGCGTAAAATATCTACCTGAGTATGTTGAATGCCTTTGACACGTATCGAAGTACCATTTATCCAAAAAGGAAAGGAGAGATTCACGTGAAACAACTTCAACGCGTCAGCATCGCTTGCATGTGAATTGAAACGACGCTTCAGTATGGCATCAATCCTTCGACATTGATTCAATGTTCGCTCGATGTTGAAAAGGGAAATACTGCGAGAACGTTGTCCGGTCAACATTACACCATCAAATGGCAGGCGAGACATCTGGCGAGACATGCGAACGAACACGATTTCCTAACCGCAAAGTGTGATGGCGACTACTTCCCAACACGGGGAGATACCTCATGTTTGCAATCAGTACGCGTCTCAAGTATTTTCAGAGCAGTACTTGATGTTTTCTCTACAAACGACGCCGAGGAAGGCATTTGACTTTCTGGACACCGTCGACCAAAGTGGCAACCCAACCAAACAGGACGCAGGAAAATTCTGAGCAGGGCGAGTGTCACAAGAAAGTCAGCGAGGTCATGTTACCCCATGAGACCACTGACTCCCAGGACGAATCTGAATCATGATGACCGCCGACGGATACATGAAGTGACAAGTAGCCTATTATTGCTTCACCGTTATGACTCCGGTGTCCTCCTGCTTCCGGGGAAGAGGATGTCTCTTTCTCGTCTCGATATTAAGTTCGTGTGGATCTGATCTGACACCCGACCCTTAAAAAGCGAATTCGGAGGATGGAGTTCGGGTCCAGATGAATTCGAATAATACTTCAATAATGAAACGGCGCATGCGCACGAATTATACAGATTGTTTAGACCTGTGTCATATCAACGTTGAACCATCGCGGATTCAACATTTAAGTTTGAAGAAGATGCATTTTCAATATGGAGTCACCGTTGATAAGCAAATGTTGAATCAACGTTGCAATGTTGCTGCTGAACGTTGAATCAACATTGATTCACGGTGAGTGTGCTACTTGGGGTGGAATTGCAGATCATTATTAAATCCACTTCAGTTTAGCATGAAAATACATGATGCTCTACAGCCAACATTGCCGGAAAATTTAATTTAATAGATAGAAAATCACTGCTTTTCGCGCTAATGTTATGAAAATATGCTGTTCAAAGATAATTAGTATTTCATTGAATTCCAAAGTACACCTGGTCGCACTTGGTTAGCCTCCTTCTCAAGTGTGAGATACTGAGAAATTTACAATCATTCTATGATAATAATAAAAATATTTGGCCGTCCGTTTCCTTGTTGGCACATCTTTATTTGCATCTCATCAAAAGAAACATGTAGTGCAATGAAAATTTGCCATATCGTAAATTATTGGAGACACTATTAATGCACTGAAACTGATGGACATGCATAATTTTGGTCATGAAGGTCTTTCGTAGCCATTCAGGCAAAACTCTTCTTTCTTCGAAATAGACTATGGATTTCGAAGATATACATAAATATCTACAGATCTACCTCACGAGAGAAGCTCAAGTTCGTGCAAGGTGTGGAGAACGCCCTGCCGGACGGAGTCCTTGTGAGCCAGCAGAGAAGTCGCTTGAACCACTTCACAGCTCTCTCCGTCGCAGGTGGCATTCCCACCGGGACCGGTGCAATTCCCGACCGAGCATTTCCCATAATGATACAGTTCCCCGAAATCTCTAGGAGTATAATGCGTGGAGCACGTGCGGTCATCTGGGTAACACATCATCGTATAATGGTTGGACATAATCTCTTGCTGGTTGGTCACGCATATGCTTTTTCCGACCCGGGATGAACCAGTACGGAATTCTGCCGCATTTGTGTGTCTCAGTTTCATGGAGTAGTCCTGTTGCCAACCAGTAGTTTCCCCTTCCTCCATCAAAATTATTCTATTTAGAAAATAAAAGCAATCGGATCCAGGGTTCTTGGGGACCAGATGTTGCATCAGTTCTGGCCAGGTTCTATGTGGTGGTTTTGGGACAATCATCTCGTCAACGTCGATGACAGCAACGTATTCATATCCCTGAACTAGGCTTCTATAAAGACAATCATTGAGTTGAAGGTGATAGAATCCTCGATGGAAGTCTGCGTTTCTTGGCAGAAATTGACCATTTGGCCCAGGGATGTTAGGCTGAGTTCCAGGAAGGGTGATGGGGATGTAATCCACGAATCCTCCCTAATCCAAAAGAAAACCTTACATTACAACGAAATCTGGGATTTTTTTTTGAAAGCGGAGATATGTTTTTATAGAGAGAGATATTAGAACTACGCGTTAAAGCTTTGACGTGAGGGGCTGCGCGATACGAACCCGTCCTGCTCGGGTCGAATCTTTTCGACGGCAGCAAGTTTTTAATTTTTCTTGGCTGCAACTACTGTAGTTCATTACATTTATTTAATAGACTTTGCAGAGCAGTTTAGTTACATTTCCCTCTTTAAACCATATATTTATTTTCCTCTTGTTTGCTGGAGGTGCACATGTACCTTCAATGAAATCATTGCCCTTAGATTCGCTTTATTCATCAGATAACGCAGAAACCTGCGAAGTACTTAATTTACTTGGAGTTTCTTGTGGTGAATGATGCAATTCATTGGACTTCGAATGGTTCGCGTATTTGGAACGGGGAATGGAGTTCCATTATTCGTTCTATAAATTTACTTGCCTCAATCACATATATTTTTTAAATAGGCTTTGTAGAGGTTACCTGGTCTTCGTAGTATTCCAACACCCGCTCCATGTTCGGATGAGGTTGGAGGCCATAAGCGAACACCTTCCCCACTTCCATCGACTTGAGGATTTCCAGCCATTCTGTGAGGAGGTGTGAGATATCCTTCACGAAGTACAATTGCTTAACGCATAAGGACACTGTATGTCTCTCCTCGCTCAAGGTATTCCCGTCTTGTTGAAACACTTTGAGGATGTTGAATACTTCTTCGGAATCTGAGGGTAACACTGAGACGGCGTCGGGGATGGGTTCCCCTTCCTTCAGCTCACAACTCAGCATGAATGGAACTGGCCAATTTTGGTGTATCTTTCGGTAAATCTCTTTTAAGTGCCCCTTGCGAAATCCGAAGGTCCGGTTCTCTTCATAAAATTTGCATTTAAGGATTGGGACGGATTCTTCAGGTCCGATAATCATGCCAAGTATACGGATTTTTCTCTCCTTTCGATGGTCGTGGAAGGCGGAATAGAGATATATATCAATGTCTTCTTTCCGAAGCCTTAGGTGTTGATAATAGAGGTTGTTAAATTGGAGATTGTCGTAGCATGGATATATTCCAGGTTGTTTGCTCCCAATTGCGCACATTCGAATGGAATCCAATGGGATATTCCTGAATCTTCTCGACGGATTCCTTTCCACAATGGGTTTTGTTGTCAATAGAAGTTCTTTTCTACTTCTCGGAAGAAGTTGGGAAGGTTGAGTAATGGTCCACTTCTGGCTGAGAAGAACAGTTGAGGTGGCACCAAAGCATATTGCCAAGAAGAGCACTCCGTATCTCTTTCCTGGAAAAAAAGGGAATGCCACAGATTTGGTGTTGCATTGATTCGCAGTGGTTACAAAATGTCATAAAATGTCAAGTATCAAGAATTTATCAGAGACGATGCACAGGTAATAAGATGTGTGGATTATGGGGCGTCAATGCCTATGTCCATGCCTATAAATTTGCATTACGATCATCATATCATGCATTTGTTCGTTGATCCCTACGCTTACAATTAAATCCACGTTCCACTAGAATGATCGTGGATCACGTCGGAAGGAATTGAGTTGATGTCATTTAAAAAATTCCATCTTGAGGCCGATTGCGGCTTTAGAAAAAGCTTGTATCGATGGTTGAATGTGTGCAGACAACTGGTACATGCACATTTGAACTCTTAACCTCCTTAGCGCTCATCGTCTCCCTTCATTGTTTCCACTAACTGCATTTTATTAATGTTGCTTTGTCTTCCTGTCTTGCGAATTTTCCTTCCGCCGAAATTGTCGTTCGTGAAAAATCACCAAAACATCGCTTTTAAACGAAAAACGAAACTTTAACTATGAATCCATGAGTATGTTTCCAAAGCAATCTCAATATTTCACCGGAATTTGCGATGCAGAAGCAATCGCATCAGCAGTTATTGAAAGTAAGTTAGACATTGCGAGAGGACAAAAGGCCAAGTTTGTAATTTTGGTCGTGAGACCAAGTCAATTCCTCTTCGTGGAAAACGCTAAGGAAATAAAACCAAAAAAAATCGGAAGATGGATAGTTTGGATGAGGTAACGTGGTGGTTCCCCGGGCAAATTCCGAGCGGCATGCAGCTGCAGTATATCAATAAAACTTGATAGGCACGCAGGAAAAAATATATATTTGAGATGAAACCTCGAACCTTCAAGTCCAGACATGGGAAAAATAGGGATTGCGTTTCCTTCCTCCCTTTCATGCTGAAAAAATCTCCTAGACGTAAATCGTTCATGCAATGTCACCCTTTATCGTCGCAC